CACGAAAGACCGAACTTCCAACTTCGATCTTCTACAATCGCTCTTAAAAACAAAAAAAAAGTTACTCGCTGTTGATCGTTTTGAAAAAAAAAAAAAAAAAAAAAGAAAACAGAGGTAGTAACCATTGAAATTATCTTCTCAGGTGAAATACATGGGCGCAGCCCCCGTTGGTGGTCGCGTGGCGAGCGTTCGAGGTCTCCAAGAACCCCTGCGGCAACTTCTCGAAAGAATCGAGGGCTCTGTGCGGGCGGAGCTCGAAGTCTCCAGACGAGGGTTGACTTTCCGCACGCCCGACACCACCGAGAAGAACAACCCGTTCCGCAGGATCGCCGTATGGAGCGCGTTGAGGCTTCGCAGCAAAGCCACGCCATCGGGAGAGCTGCATCACGCTTTCTTGCCGTTGGTCGGCGATCACGAACAGAGTCAGGCAGGCGAGGAGAAGCATGCAGACTTGTACAGGTGAGGCATTGCGATGGAAAGCGCCGTCGAGAGAAATTAACGACGCCGTGGATGCACGTAACTCTAGATCAAGTCTAGTTTACGTCAATTATCTCGCAGAGAGAGAGAGAAAGAGATTTAATCAGTTCGATTAAGGGTTTGAGTTTTTCGTGCAGCGTACGATCTTTTTGATCCGTTAAGGGATCAAAACGTTGCATTAACATCTTTCAATCAATTTATACTATTCTATCTTTTTGATATCGAGATAGCCATTTCAGATCAGAATCATTCGAATGCTCTGTTAGTTTGTTAAAAAAGTGAAATTGATCGACAACGATTAAGATGAAATGAACTCAACTTTCGCCCAGAAAATCTAAAATTGCTTTGTTTTTCAGAACGATGCGTGATCTGAAAACGACAGCGGACCACTATCCACCAATATTTGCAGTAGTAATGCGACGACCAGGGGCTGCCAGGTTACTGGAATGTCACGCATTCGGCTGTGAAACGGAGGAAGATGCAGTGGCCGCTGCGGCAACCCTTTATCGAGCACTTGTAGCCGATTTGGACGCGAATCGACGTCGACCAAGGCACGCAAATGGCGTTGGTTGCATGAGTCTGACTTCCATAGCTTCCAGCTACGTTAGAGAACCCAGCCCAAGTAGCAGATTCGGCATCAGAATGAACGTGTTGCAGTCAGAGGCTGTTAGATCTATTCCTCAGCATCCTGTGAGACCGCCAAGAACAAAGAAAACCTCCATGTCCAGTTCAGTGACAGAGGATGAAGCCGCGAAGTCGCCGGAATTGCAGAAGGCACCTAGAAGAAAGAAGAAGAATTCCGATGTCAAGGCAGAGGACATTCTGGAGGCTCGAGGAAGAAGAAGAGAGGCTGTTCCAAAGGAGAAGACTAACCCAGCGACCCAGAATGTCACTTCCGTTCAGAAAAATTTCGACTCGAGGGTTTCTAAGAAGGAAGAACGCGAGAATATAAGAAACAAAACTTTGTTTGGCAGTAAAAAAGAACTGGATGCTCCTGAAAAGATCGAGATAGGAAATTCTAGTACCTCCGTGAACAAGATTTACGACGTCGGCGCTAGTGGACTTTACGAGACAGTCTCGAATAAATACGAAAAACTTCCGATAATTGGCAGAGCGGGGAAGGATGCAGAGAAACAGACCCCGAACAAAGAATCAGAAGACGAGAGAGAGAAAATTTATGACAAGTCTTATGGTTCTTACAATTTGAACAACCCTGTGCAACCCTCGAGAGACACGCCTAAAAATCAAGAAATACGTTCCACCAGATCGGACGCTGTAACGTACGACAGAATTGAGAAGCCAGCTTGCAAAAGCGAAGAAAACTCATTGTACGAGCGAGCCTTTAAGAGAAACAGCAAGGAGAGGCTGTACGAAGATCATTTCAAAGACGTTGACAAAATATACAGCGTTGCTCAAGAGGAAATTTACAACGATAGAGGGGGCAAATTAGCAGCAGGGAAGATAAAGAGTTCGCAGGAAGACATATTTTTCGGCAGGTCTTGCAACAACGAGATTTATCAGTTGAATCGGGAGAATCGTGGGGATTCTGTGCCAATGGAACGAAGAAGGCCAAGGGACCCAGAAAAGATAACGACTGGGAAACGAGTGAGCAGAGTGGTTACCATGGACAAACCTTTGAAGAAGCAATTGAGCGATTCTACGTCGAATTTGAATTTAACAGAGTTTAATCAGCCGAGAGTTAGGAAGAGAAGCAGAGCTGGAAGCGAGCCACCTGTTAGTAGATCTGAAGATGCTACGAAAGCACTTCAGGAGACCAGGTTGAAGAGATCTCAGAGCGACGTGGACGTAGACCGGGGAGATTTGATGACCCGAGTCGAATTGCCCAGGAGAGGAAGCTTTTTGAAGCCTGGAAGTGCTAGGAGACCCAACAGTGTCAAAGGCGGCACCCCACTGGGATTCACGGAACTTTTCGACGAATTTAGGAACCAGGAGGGCTTGACCAGCGTTGATGACATCTTGGCTGCTATTATTGGTAAGTATTATTTGGAAAAATTTTAAAATCTTAAAATGCTGTACCTTTTGAAGAGATTTTTAACAGATTTTCAAGCTGAAGATTCATAGTTGGCTTTTCGCTTCTTTTACTACTATTTTTCTGGACAAAATTGTAGGAGATCGATATAGAAGTGACGACAAGAAGGAAATATAGAAATTTAGTTCTCGTTTTTCCAACTCTTACACATTGTATTTAACGAGTGAATTCTTTTCCTAGACCCCGAAGGGATGTCTTTCAACGACTTGAAACCCCTGTACAAGGAATTCTTGTTAAAATTGGCGGCGACACTAACTCAGGATGAACTATATCAGAGGTCAGCGAGTATAATGAGAAGACGTCGAAGGCCCCAACGAAGACGATCCAGTCGACGAACCTGCTTACTTGGCAGGGCTATTAAGAGGTCTGTGTCGAGGTTAAAGGGTGGACCCACGGAATTTACTTCCGTGATCTTCCCGGCGAGACGACTGAACGATAGTTTTGGTAGTAGTTCTTCTTGCGATGCCAGAAACAACCACAGGAATCGTATGCTGGCCAATAAAATGGGCAAGAGGAGATCTTCTTGGAGAGCGAACAAATCCGGCGTTTGTCACACCACATCGGAAGACAGTGACACTTGTATGTGAATGTTTTGCGATCTCATCTCAAATATTTGGATTTCTACCTTCTTTCTTGAAGTTATTTTATATTTTACATTTCTCCAGTATTTTCTTTTTTTTTTGTTGTTGTTGTTTAATTCTATAGATTATTTATCTTTCATTTATACGTCGTACAATAAAAATTTCACTAAAGATTAATAGAGTCACTACGACCATTCAGGCAGAAGACTAAATAGAAGTGCAGGAGCAGCGGCGAACAGAAGCAGCAGCGGTTACGTGAGCTGCAGCGAGTGTAGCTACGACTCAGAGTCCTGCACTTGCGTGTCAGCGGACAAGTGTTACTGCTCGTTATCGAGGAGGATCCCGACGGAACTTCACGTGCCTCCAAACACGGTGGTATGTGCTTGCGACACCGACAGCTGCTCCGAAAGCAATAAGTGTTACTGTGCTCGACAGCCGAATCGTCCAACTATACTCGAGCAGTTAAGGCAAAGAGGCATCGTGCCCTCCGAGAGCACCCTCAGTCGAGCCGGAAGTCCAGACAGAGCTCGAGTGACCAAAACTGGCAGATGTCGGACACCTTTCCAAGGTTTGGACGTACCGAAGGTAATACATATATCGGTTGAGTAACGTAAAAATAAGAAAATTAACAAAAAAGGATTTGTATTTTTCTCTCCTGGAGCTTATATTACAATAGTAAATAGGGTTTATTAAATGTATTCTTCCTTTTTTTATTAAAAAAAAAAAAAAAATAGAATGAATAAGATTTTTAGTATTTTTATTCATTTGTAGAAGTCGTCGTCAAGCTACAGCAGTTCGAACAACCTCGCCCTAGATTATGACCTGTTTAATCCAGGACGGAAGTCTCAACAGTCTTCAGACAGCGAAAAGGTGTTAGTCGTTAGTGCCAGGGATACACAGGGCCGTTTAGTGTACGTCGGTGGCGCTGACAGGGACAAAAAATGTCTTTCTCACTGTTCCAATCGATCTGGAGCACATCACGAAGCCCTTTCGATTAAGAAGAGCGCGGAAATCGCGGCTATTTTCGGAGCTGATTGGAATAGAATCAGCAGACGAGCTAGCAATGCTTCCAGCATTAAAAGTTCCATTAGTCTGGAGGCTGGATTAGGATATTTACCATAACGATCATTTTTCTTTTTTATAATTCCTCGTCTTATTTGATCTGATCCGGTTCATTGACTTAATTTTAATTGCTCATTACCAGGTATTTCGTATGTTACAAAAAATATAAAAGTTAGAAATCCCTCGGTCAGATCTTGTTACAAAAAAATAAGTTCTCATTTATACATATTATATATATATATATATTAAAAAACGACAGCATTTAACAAAGAGATGTAAATACACATTTATTCTCAAAGAGAACGTTCAGGAATACATAAAACACGTCGAACTATTTTTTTTTTATAATGCCGTAAATATTAGTGATAACAGTGTGTGTTTCTATTTTTATACTTAGAATATTTGTCTTGTATATGAACAGTCAACAAAAATCAATATCAATATATAACGCGTGTATTAATTAATAACGATACTGTTATTTACATGATTCACAGAAACATGTCAGAAATGTACCAGTACCATACTATTCTTCATTTTACTCATGTAATGGTACCATATTCTCGTTTCTGCGGGATTTGATCTCGGCAAAAGTTGTTCTGAGTCAGGCATGCTAAAATTGCTATTCGCGCTAGAGACATTGTGAAAAG